CCCTACAGACAATTTCAGACATATTTCTTCCAACATCATTGCAGCAGAACGATGTTCGAGTTAATACAAACAGGTATTCAACAGTTCAGATTATCAAATGACCGCATGTTTATATGTGTAGTGTGCTTTGCTGAACAATAAAATATATGAAATGTATTTTTGTACATCAGTCTGAATTTTTTTTGCTCTGAGTACATCTGCTTTCAATTAATAAGTGGATCATATAATATAACCTAACACTTATTAGCAAAGTTGTTGATAACTACTGATGGCTAAACAGAATGGTTACAAGAGCAGCTATGCCAACACCGGAGATCGGTTTTCTATTTGTGCTGGAATTTTCAATACCAAGTAGATATTTTGCCTTTTTGTTTTTCAATTAGTGGAAGTTAGTGAGAACCAAACGTGCTGGGAACGAGGAAGAAAAAATGTTTGTAGTTTAAATGTATGTATCCATTGATGTACCAAGGAATGTACCACTTCCTCGTGAAATGGAAAAAGTATTGTAGTGTAGTTAATCAGAAGGAATCAGAAAAGGTATTCTAAAATTTAAAATGCTAGAAATAGAAGAATTTACAAAAAAATTAGAACAAAAATAATCTATTGGCAACAAGTCAAGAAAACACTGAAAGCATTTTTCTATTTTTATTGGTTCCTTTCAGTTTGCTTTATGGGATTATAAAACTATCAGCAGCTACTTGGACCTGGAGGCCTCCTGGCCTGAGGGGTAAGGAATCCTTCTTTCAGTTTTACAGTTGTGCTTCTCTTCAGATGTAATTAAGAGAAAATATCTAGATAGAGGTATTTTTTTTAAATTGTATAAACAGGAAATTGTAGAAAAACTTTTGGGCATGTAGTTCCTTCAAGTGTGAAATACAGGCAATAGACTTCAAAGCTAAATACCAGCAGAGTCTCTCTGACTTTAATTAGATATCAATGAGATCATCTGAGGGAAATCAAGATAGGCAGCAGTTGTGGGCTAAGGAGGATGCACATCTTTTGACACTGCCTTTGTAGATCAGGAGCAAGAAGTAAAAGGTGGAGAGACTGCTTTTTGAGGAAATGATACCCCACTGCCTGTTCCTGTGCTTTAGTAAATGTTTATGAAAGTCCATTTTAGTGTGTAGTTATGTGAGTTTCCATGAGAGCATTTAGTCTGCTAAGTAGACTTCCACAGCAGTTTATATTAGGGTATGTAAGAGTAGGAACATGGTATTTGGATGGCTTTGTTGTGAAAAGTGTTTATTCTGGTGGGAATACTTACTGTGGAGATGAGAAATTGCAATGTTCAAATCTGTAGTCAAATATCTAGCTCCGCTTGCTTCATTTTCATTCCAAGTGTCTGCAAAGAGGTTCTTGAAAGATACTTTTCAGATAAATTCTTTCTGCCTAGGATGTAATTCGTAATGGATTCCCTGTAAATTCTATCTTCCAGTATATTTTCACTGTAAAAAATTCCTTTTTAGGTTAAGGAGGTAAGCCGTGCAAGTGTTTTTCCCCGAGCAAATAGGGTAGTGTCTGAAGGTCAGGGAGTATTTTACTGCTTTTGCAGAGTGTTGGAGGTGGTTACCAAGTTTTAGGGAAGTAGCAACAGTGATTTATGCTTGTGCTGTGTATGTTAGTTTGTAAGTTACTATTCTTGGTCTTGATTGTAGTGCCTAGGACAACTGTGTCAGTACGGGAGTGTCCAGAGGCAGTCTGATACTGAGGCAATGCTTCTTAAATTTGTTGTGAAAATCAGTGAGGGAATATAGGTTTCCAGTACAGGTGATAAGAGATCTTACTTAATTATTTTAGACATAACATTGATGCTGTGTTCCTAGATGGTCTGTGCTGAGAGGATGTATCTGTCCTTTGCTTGCCACACAAGGCTGACTTTTTAACAATGTTTCCCATTAATGGTCATGAATTCACTTTAGATGGAAAAAAGAAACCCAGAACCCCATTTTTTTACACTGACATTTGGGCAGGAAATGAAACATGCTTGAATATTTTTCCTTGTTTGTTTATTAGCCTGCTCTTGCTTCTGATGAAGTTAATAAGAGCAGAATGGTTCTTACATCTTAGCACTTGCTCATTATTCCATGACATCCTGTGCTAGGAAAATGCATTGGTGCTATTTCATTTTTTACAGCAGACGTCCTAGAGCTTCTTGATGTAGTGCAGGTATAGGACAAACCTATATAGGGAAGTCATGAGACGCCTTATGGGAGATTTACAGTGAAAACTTTGTAAAATATTCAAATCAGAGATAATGTTTGCATTGTATCTCTGAAGCAGTGAGGTTTTCTCCTGTGGATGGGTGTTATAGACTGAGCTGGTTGCCAGGTCTTGTGCTGACTGTCTGTACTGGGCTGAACTTGTCTCCAG